TTAAAAATGAATAGAGAGTAAATGAAAATAAATAAATATTTCAATTAAATGATAAATAATTAAAATTAAAAGATAATTATAATATTAAAGTAAAACAAATATTTATATCTCTTAAAATAATAAAAATGACTATTATTCTAAAACAAATTCTAAATCAAATTAAAAACTCTTTTATTCTAGAATGAAAGAAGTATATAAAGGTGATGTGTAATTTTTGGACAATTATACATACACCCAAAAAATTAACACCCATCTCAACACTCAAGGTTAAAATCAGGAGGGGTAAATTTGTAATTTTACTGTTCATAAGCCTTGGGTGTTGAGATGAGTGTTGATTTTTTAGGTGTATATATAATTGTCCGTAATTTTTTATCTAAAAATTGTAAATCTTATAATTATTGATAAATATAAGAACATAAAAAAAAAAAAAGTCTCTTAGAGTATGAGGTTGGATCGGATTGCAAAATTAATTTCTATAAAAATAAATGACTGATTGCTTTCCAATTTTTTTGCCAAAAAAAATGCCTTCACATTTTTATTTTTATCAAAATCCCATTAAAATTCAAAAGAATATTTTTGCGAGTTAAAAAAGAGGATTATTTGAGTTTTTTGATTTTTTTGGCCTTCAAAAGACCCAACAATTTTCTTATTGTAATATCAATACATTTTTTAAAATAATTTTAATGCTTTTTCCTTTTACTATATTTTAAAAACATCGCTTCCTTTTGACTACATGGTACTGGTTATCTTCTCTCTTTACTTTATTAATGAATTTCAATATTCACCCTAAAAAATTACTACTTTTACAACCCTTTTTTAAGATAAAATTCATTAATATTAAAAAAGAATAATGTATATATTGTTGCTTTAACGTTTTATATGCAATTTTATGGGTCTCTATATGAAATAAAGTTTTTTAAATATGTACCTTTAGAATATAAGTTAAGGATATTTTTTTGTTATGAATTTATTTAAAAAAATATCAAAGCTAAATTAATTTTAATGTTATTATAATATTAATAAATTTAATTAAAGAATTAATAAATTAAATACCACTTTTTATTCTTCTAGGGTCCTTAACTTAGAAAAACCTTATATAATATATTCATGAATAATAATTAAAAATTATTTTATAAGTAATTTATTATTGAGTAGTGTTTTATTTTGCCAAAAAAAGTTAAAGGTTAAGAGTATTTGCCTTCCATTTTTAATAACATATCAAATTATTATTGAATATAAGTTTCCTATTTTACAATCAAACTATATTAAATTGTAAAATAACTAAGAACTGTTAGATGAGAAAAAGGTTGTAATATCAAATGACTCGTCTCTTATCAAATAATTCTTGTTATATAATTTGATATAATTTAAATTATATAATAATTTTTTCTTAATATATTAGCTTATCAAATTTTTTTATTTTATTCTATACTATAAAATACAAAACAACACTTTATTTTAGCTTATTTAAGACATAGTTTCGTAAACCATGATCACTGTCATGGAATCTTCATTTCACGAAAAATCCTTTATGGTATGCATGTATGTCCAAAGTCTTATTTTGTTCTCTTCTCAATTTTGAATTTAAAACAATATAAAAATTATTACAAAATTACAGCACTTCACTTTAGACCCTTTTTAGAGGGACAAAGACCCCAAAATCATGTGTTAAACGACACTACGAACATAATTAAAAATCAAAACTTAGGAATTTTAGGGCAATAATGGAAGAAAGTCTATACACTTGTGAGATTAAATTCAATGTCTGATCTATTAGCAATTAGTTTATTAATTAGTAATATCAATTTTGTCTAAAAGATTTTCTTTTTCAATTTAGTTTGAGTATTTACTCTATTTGTTCCAAAATAATTCTTGAGTTTTTTT